GGGGTGGGGGTACTGGCACAACAGGGCAGAGCACAGGGCAAGGCAGGGCAGAACAGGGCGGTGCAACAGAATAGAGCAGTGCATGTCCCTGTCCACATAAGTGCACAAGGACAAATGCAAGCTGGAAATGTGCAAACGCCGCAGGCACGGCGGGCCAGTGAATCAGCTTCGCAATGATCAGCGCTACCAGCAAAACGCTCGGGCACATGTGCGCGCCGCCATCGCTCGCTCACGCACGCGCGCATGCATGTCGGCTTTCTTGATGCACAGGCACACATGAAAAAAACATATCCTATGCGCAAGGTACTCACCGCGTGTAGTCGCACTCAAACCCTGCATACTCATTGAAGTGGTTGCCCCAGTCAAACCCCCTGGGTAAGTGGCGCAGATCGGTCAACCAAGGTGATTGCTGGCATGCAACCTGCTGCAGCGGCAGGAGGGCGTGCTTGCGCTGCATGAAGCATCACCACACTCATGCACACAACCTGTTCACACGCATTTCAGCAGAACCGCGGAGGGGGCAGCGTGCTGCTCTGCTGAAAAGCTGGTGGCCGCCAGTAAAGCTCGAGACCTCCATATGTGAGGCCGAGCTCAGGCTGCCGAAGGTGACGGCTTAGGCCATCAATTGAGCGCCTCTCCTGTCACCCAGAACGACCCCATCCCCTGTCCTGCCCCCCTCCCAGGCGCCCCAGTTGTCAGCCCTCTAGGGCCCAAAAGCCCACCTGTATGTGTATGACCCATACTCAAAGTCAATCACGGTGAGTGGCCCTTCCACATCCGGTGACGCAGGATCGAACCCTGGCTGCTGCAGCACCAGCAGGTTGCCGCTCTGCGGGTTGCGGAGTGACGGTGTGGGGGTCGCACGACGGGCGATTGCTTGGGAGCGGTGGAGGCATAAGCGGGGGGTGGGAAGTGGCACGCGCGCTTGGGGCCGGGGCCTGTGGAGCCGGGCGAGCGAGGCGGTCTCAAGGATGGGCGGGGAGCGCATCCGCCGGTGCAGCACGCCCCCAGCCGCTGGAGAACGGACGATGAAGCCGCCGGCCGCGAGCTGCAGCGGCGCAAACACAAAAGCATGTCTTTAGACAAGCATGCCCTCTTCTGCATAACAACCTGTATATAATCACATAAGCGGCGCTCACCAGAAGGTCGTTGTGACCAAACACCACCGGCGACCCCGCCGCCGCGCACGCCGCCTCCACCTTTTCGAGCTCCCCCTCGATCGCCCGGAAGTCCAAGGCGGCATAGGCGGCCGCCTTAGGGTCCGAGGTTTCAAATTTGAGGGCCTCTGCCATCTGGAGCCACCCCCGGATCGTCAAGAACAGCCGCGGCTCCCGCGGCAGGTCGACGCGGACGGCGTGGAAGCTGGCGAGAAGCCGCGCGATGCGGGGGACGAAGGCGTCGTCGCACATCTGCTGGGGGGTGAGGGTCATGCAGTGGAGGAACTGCTCGATCCGGCCGTTGTCGAAGAGTGCCAGGACC